CCTCCTCCTCCGCCTCCTTTTCTTCCTCCTCCTCTTCCTCCTCCTGCCCTTCCAATCTATAAAAGTCATTGGAAAATATATCCTTGGGTGAGGATTAACAAAAAAAAGAAAATGTGGATACCAACTGACTAATGATTTTAAGAGATGATTGTATATGAATAATTATTTTGGTGTGACACTGGTATTCAGGTTATGGTTTTCTTTGTTTTCATATTTTTAGATAAATATATTGAAATAATTACTGAGGAGTTAAAATGATGTCTGAGATTTGCTTCAAAATGATATGGGGGTGGGGTGGGGTATAAGTAAAGCTAGATTTGCTTAAGTTAACTATTGTTGAAGCTGGAAAAGGGGGATGTGAGGGTTCATTGCACCATTTTGTCTAATTTTATGTTTAAAAATTTTTTGAGCAATAAGTACTTTTATTTATTTATTTTTAATTCTCACCTGAGGATATGTTTGTTATTGATTTCATTTTTTACTTTTTAAAAATATTTTTATTGATTTCAGAGAGAAAGGGAGAGGGAGTGAGAGATAGAAACATCAATGATGAGAGAGAACCATTGATCAGCTGCCTCCTACACGCTCCCTACTGGGTATGGAGCCCAGAACCGGGCATGTGGCCTGACCAGGAATCGAACCGTGACCTCCTGGTTCATAGGTTGATGCTCAACCACTGAGCTATGCCAGCCAGGCCATTTTTCATTGATTTTAGAGAGGAAGGGGGAGAGAGTGAATCTTCAGTCAGTTGCCTCCCCTACGGGCCCAACTGGGGAGCGAACCTGCAACCTTTCGGTGTATGAGATGATGATGGAGCAGTAAGTACTTTTTAAAGAACAGTGTTCTTCTGAGGCTTGTTCTTTCACTCAACATTATGTTTCTAAGATTCGCCTCCAAGTTGTAGCTGTAGTTCATCCAATGTTCACTTCTGTGTTGTCTTCTCATTGTATGAATTTTCTCATTTGGCTGACAATGGGTATTGGAGTTGTTTTCAGGTTTTTGCTATCACAAGGTGGCTCAAGTGCAGCCTTAACTTGGTAAAGCCAACATCTGCACTGTGCTGGTGAGATAAAGCGACGAGGATGGAAACGGAGGAAACGGCACCAGGCGCTCTCTCAGATCTTACCCACAGGGGGCCTTCAGGCTGGTGCGCTGCCGCAGAACTCATGCCAGTGAATTGGGAAGGTTTCTTTGGTTGCTAATGAGAAAACAAAATAAATAGAGCAAAAATGAAATGAAATGAACTAAAATAAAAAGTGGGGAAAAGAGCAGAATTTATTTGTTAATGTTTTTAAATTGATTTTTAAAAAGTAATCCTCACCTGAGGATATTTTTTCCATAGATTTTTTTTTTTCAGAGAGAGTGGAAGGGAGGAGGGAGGGAGGGAGGGAGAGAGAGAGAGAGAGAGAGAGAGAGAGAGAGAGAGAGAGAGATGTGAGATTGACACATCGATTGGTTGCCTCCTGCATGGCCCCTACTGGGTCTGGGATTGATCCTGCAACCCAGGTACGTCCTCTTCCCCAACAGGGAATCAAATCTGATTAGTGCGTGGGCCGCCGCTCTCAGCACTGAGCCACACCAGCCAGGGCTTTATTTATTGATTTTTAGAGAGAGAAATATCGATTTGTTGCTCCATCTTCTATGCGTTCATTGGCTCATGCTTGTATGTGCCCGACCAGAGTGGAACCCACCCCCTTCGCCCAAGAGAACGGCGCTCTAACCAAGGGAGCTGCCGGACCAGGGCACTGTCGGCTCCTTTCATGTAAAAGTCTGATTGCAAGCACCTCCCTGTTGGGCGGCTCTGTTCGTGGGAATCTTGTCTCTTTCCCCATCACCTGGCTCTGCTCAGCCCTGCGCTGTCCTCCTTCTCAGGCAGGGTCTCCTCTGCCACTCCCTGCTCACATCCCGCCAGGAAAGAGAAGCCCAGTCCTGAACTGCGCTGCTCCCAGTGCTGGTCTGGGTCAGCCGTCCTTCCCTGGAGTGTGGTGAGAAGCCAGCCCTGCCAGAGCTGCATGGCTTGAGAATAAGGTGGATCCTGAAAACGTATGGGGGTGAGAGGTGAGTCCAGAAAAAGAGGCAGGGGATGCTGGGCTCGCAGAGCAGCAGACACCAGTACAACGCATTAGCGCCTTTTCTCACGTTGGCCCAGGAAGGCGTATGTGGGACACAGTGTAACCGGAGCCAGGTTCTGCTGCCTGCCAACCCTGCAAACCAAGTGCTGGTGAAAAAGGAAAGAGGTTTTATTCAAGTGTCAGTCATGGAGGAGATGGGGGACTCTTGTCACAAAGCCCATCTTCCTGTCTGAGTGCAGGCAGAGGTTTGATAAGGATGGAGAGGGAAAGCACAGCAAGCCAGAGCATCCATTCCGATAAGGACCTGCACACCCGGCGGTGACGTCTGTGCGCGTCATCCTGTGCTCATCATCCTGGGCTCCATGTCATCCTGGCTCCACGTCATCCTGGCTCCACGTCATCCTGGCTCCACGTCATCCTGGCTCCACGTCATCCTGGCTCCATGTCATCCTGGCTCCACGTCATCCTGGCTCCATGTCATCCTGGCTCCACGTCATCCTGGCTCCATGTCATCCTGGCTCCACGTCATCCTGGCTCCATGTCATCCTGGCTCCACGTCATCCTGGCTCCACGTCATCCTGGCTCCATGTCATCCTGGCTCCACGTCATCCTGGCTCCATGTCATCCTGGCTCCACGTCATCCTGGCTCCATGTCATCCTGGCTCCACGTCATCCTGGCTCCACGTCATCCTGGCTCCACGTCATCCTGTGCTCATCATCCTGGCTCCACGTCATCCTGTGCTCATCATCCTGGCTCCATGTTTGAAGGTCAGCAAATCTCCCGGAACTGGGACAACAGAAGGTCCGAGTCTGCATCTTCTGAAGTTAGTCCCTAGGACTCTGATACAAACGTGCTGTTTAGTTACAAGCTGCTTATTAGTCAGAGTCCGCATTTACAGAAACAATCCTTACAGTTCCCACTGTCACACCTGCATGTCAGGGGTGCTAATGGGGAGTGAGGATCAAAAGAACCCTTGTTTGTGAGGTGTGACCAGAGCCCTGTAACTTGGCAGCCAGCAGGCAGCTGGGAGGAGCAGAGGCAGGAGAGGCTCGCTCGGAAGGCTGTGGGCCAAAGGCCTGTGATCTGACGGGCAGTTTTGACAAGGAGCTCTTTCCTGGTTACTGCAAGATGTCAGACAGGTTTTATTAAAAACGTCCTCCTACTGCGAGTGGTACTTTGGGGCAAATAAAAGGGGAGATGGCTGTGACCTCCTAGGGTGGGAATGTGAACTGATAATGGGATGGAGCAGGTGACTGTGGAAGTGGCAGAAACAGGGGTAGAGGTGATAGGTACCCACGGATGGGACCTCAGTACACAGTCATCGCATCCGATGCTTACTGAGCACCTACCGTGCATCAGGCACTGCTCTGAATGTGTCCCCATCACATCTGATGCTTACTGAGGCACAGCTCTGAATGTGTCCCGCATATTAACCCATTTGCTTCTCACAACAATCTTCCAAGGTAGGTCCTATCATTACCCCCATAATAGAGACGAGGAAACTGAGGCACAGAGAGGTTAAGTGACTTACCCAAGTGGTAGAGTCTGGATTCTACCACTGTCATCTGCCTCACATAGGTGGGGGTGGTCTTGACAAGTCTACAGGAAGAAAGCCCGTTTTATTGGCCACCTTTGGGTGGCCTTACAGCGGAGGGACTCAGAGTGTCTATTGGTCCATTTGGAAGGAAAGGTGAGGGGCATCTGGGTGCCACAGAGGTGACCGGGTCCTGCAGGGCAGGAGACCTGTGCTGAAGGCGGAAGGTTTGCTGGGACAAAAACTGCTGAATTCCTGGTCTCTCAGAACTATTTTGCTCACTTCCTTTGGCCCATTTCCAATGGCCCCAGCACCCTTTTGGGGACATACTGCTCCCCCAAAGGAGACCTTGAGCCTTTGTGGGCTCTGCAGGGTATCATGGTCCCTGGTGGGCCCCCCTCTCAACCCAGAGCAGCCAGCCTTCCACTGTTAGCCCTGCCTGGGGCAGCCAAGCTGAGGTCTGCCTTGTCGGGAAGGCAGGAGATGGGCGTCCCGGTGGCTCAGGTCCCGCTGTGGATGATTGAGGAGTTACAAGGAGAGAGAGAAGAATGAAGAGGCACAGACAGTGAGGCATGCACAAGATAGGCACAATGAGAAATAGAGAGAGAGGGATGGCCCCAGCTGGTTTGGCTCAGTGGATAGAGTGTCAGCCTGCGGTCTGATGGGTCCCAGGTTCGATTCTGGCCAAGGGCACATGCTGGTGAAAATGGAAAGAGGTTTTATTTAAGTGTCTTGATCCCTAGTAGGGGGCGTGCAGGAGGCAGCCAATCAATGATTCTCTCTCATCATTGATGTTTCTCTCTCTCTCCCTTCCTCTCTGAAGTCAATAAAAATATATTTAAAAAAAGAAAGAAAATCAGTGTTTAAAAAAAAGAGAGGGATGGAGACAAGAGAGATACAAAGACAAACAAAAAAAGACAGAAGGAGATGAGAGTGATGGACAGAGAGAGTGAGATGGAGAAGAGATATAATGTCAGGCAGAGAGAAAATGTCAGATGGAGAGAGAGAGGAGCAGTAGACACACTGCCCTCCCAGCCCCACAGAGGGACACGCTGGGACCAGCTTGCAGAAACATACCCCTCACACTGACCTCCTTCTAGGAACTCCCATGTTGGCAGCCGGTCCTCCCTCAGCTCTGCCCTCCTCTCCTGCTGCTGGCCAAGCCCATTAAGCTGCTCTCCTGGCCACAACTGAAGGCCCCACGCCCTGGGAAGGAAACCACTGAAGAGGCGTCCATGCACCCCTGCACCCCAAACCATCAATTAGTGTTAATGAGGGAAGGCTTCTCACTGCGTAAAGACCCCCATCGGGGCCCAGTTGGCGGGGAAGCCCCACCTCCGTGACTCAAGAGGTTAAAGGGCCTGGGGCCAGCCTGTGAGCCCAGAGTGTCCAGATGGCGTGTGGCAGTGGGAAGGTCACCATCCAGCTGGTGGATGAGGAGGCAGGACCTGGAGCCCAGGACCCGAAGCTTTTTAGAGGCCAGAGCTATGAGGCAATCCAAGCAGCCTGCCTGGATGAGGGGATCCTGTTCCGTGATCCCTACTTCCCTGCTGGCCCTGATGCCCTTGGCTATGACCAGCTGGGGCCGGACTCAGAGAAGGCCAAAGGAGTGAAATGGATGAGGCCCCATGTAAAGTGTGGCTGGGGGCTGGGTTCTGGCTCTGAGGGAGGAGGGCTGGGGGCCTGGACTCCTGGCTCTGAGGGAGGAGGGCTGGGGCCTGGACTCCTGGGTCTGAGGGAGGAGGGCTGGGGGCCTGGACTCCTGGGTCTGAGGAGGAGGGCTGGGGCCTGGACTCCTGGGTCTGAGGGAGGAGGGGCTGGGGGCCTGGACCCCTGCGTCTGAGGCAGGATGTCTGGGAGGAGGGCTGGGGCCTGGACCCCTGGGTCTGAGGGAGGAGGGCTGGGGCCTGGACCCCTGGGTCTGAGGGAGGAGGGCTGGGGGCCTGGACCCCTGGGTCTGAGGGAGGAGGGCTGGGGCCTGGACCCCTGGGTCTGAGGGAGGAAGGATCCCTGTGGGACCAGCTCAGAGCAGGCTCAACCACCCTGGGTCCAGGAAGGTCCAGAGAAGCCGACCGCCTGCCCGAAGGCTTTACAAGCCTCTCATGGGGCTGGAGACGCTCATTACTCTGGAGCAATGAGGCAGGAGGGGACCCAGGCACCTGACCTCCTAGTTGCTCCTTCCCTCCCTTTCCTGGCTGAGGCCTGGCATCCCCATCCCCCAGGAGTTTTGTGCTGAGCCCCAGTTCATCTGTGAGGACATGAGCCGGACAGACGTGTGTCAGGGGAGACTGGGTGAGACCACTGAGCCCACCTAAGTCCCCAGATCCTGCAAGTTGCAGTTGCGACCCTGACACCTCTGCCCTCGATCTCCCCCTCCCCACCCTCTGACCTCCCCTCCCCCTCCCTCAGCTCCCCCTCAGCCTCTCCTCTCCCTGGGCCTTAGCCTTCTCTCCTCCAAGGTAACTGTTGGTTTCTTGCGGCCGCCGCCTCCCTCACGCTGCACCCCCGACTCTTGCGCCGAGTGGTGCCCCCTGGACAGGGTTTCCGAGACAACTATGCCGGCGTCTTCCACTTCCAGGTAAAGCTCGGTTCCTCTGCTCATGCCTCAGTTTCCCCAGGTGACATGGTTTCATAGTTGACTTTGCTTCTTTGGGGCTGGAATTTAGGACAGGTACGGCAAGGTCAGGGGTCAGAGCTGGGCCCCAGACGGGGGGCGGGGGGCGGGGCGGATGGAAACTGAACCAGGCCCTGTCCCTTCCCCACCAGTTCTGGCAGTTCGGCTGCTGGGTGGACGTCGTGGTGGATGACAGGCTGCCGGTGCGCGAGGGGAAGCTGATGTTTGTGCGCTCAGAACAGCGGAATGAGTTCTGGCCCCCCCTTCTGGAAAAGGCCTATGCTAAGTAAGGAACCCCCCCCCCCCCGGCCGCAACCCTACGTCCCAGCCAGCAGCCCCCGGCCTCATGACAGCCCCCAGAGCCCCTCCACTTCTGGGATCTTCTAGATACCTTGCTAAGGGTTCCAGACCAAGCCACAGCCCCTGAGACCCTAATGCACACCACCCCCTGAAGCCCTCCAAACGGCAAACTCCTTCCTCCACCAACAGGTCACACAGAACATTCTTAGAGACCCACCAACACCAGAATCCGTATAGGTCCCTTGGGAGACCTATAATCTCAGACAGTCTCTCCTGATCCACTGAGAAATCCAAAGCACTCCCCAAAATATTGGGTGGAAGACCTGGGACCCTCGAATCTTTGCTTTTCCCCATCCTGTGGATCTGAAATCCCTGACAAGCCCCGTGGGGATTACCCCAAAGGGAGACATCGACCTCCCAGAGACCCCAGGTCTCAGACCGCCCCAGGGTGCCCAGAACTCTGACTGAGCTCCCCGAGACCCCCATCACTCAGTCCTGGCGGCCCAAGCGCCAAGGCTTCTCGAGTGTGCCACAGTCCCCACCTCAAGAGTCTGCACATCTTCGGAATAGCCCCTGGGACCCACACCCTGGGACAGAGGTGCCCACATCCCGAGATGCTCGCACATGCCTCAGGCACCCCCATGCCAGACCTGCTCCCACAGGCTCCACGGCTCCTATGAGGTGATGCGAGGCGGCCACATGAATGAGGCTTTCGTGGACTTCACAGGTGGCGTGGGCGAGGTGCTCTACCTGAGACAAGACATCCCAGGCCTCTTCTCGGCCCTGCGCCACGCCCTGGCCAAGGAGTCCCTCGTGGGTGCCACTGCCCTGGTGAGAGTCGGACTCCCATGGAGACCCCACCAGGACCAGTGTGGAGTGGGGGGTTCCATGTCCTCCTCTCTTTCACTGGTGGCTTATTCTTTCACAAATCAAACACGGGCAAGTTGAAAGGATATTTATTTGCTCTCATAACGAATGAGCTTCAGGCACAGCTGGATCCAGGTGCTTAGCAGACATTGTGAATGTGTTTTCTATTCCTGGTTCTATTTCTGGGTTAGCTTCACTCTCAGGCAGACTTTCCCTTCATGGGCCCAAAAGAAGCTCCCAGTTACCTCCCACCACCCCAGAGTTGAGAAGGAAAAGTACCTCTTCTGAGAATCTCAGCAGAAGTCCAAGATAGATATTCATGGGCTAAGCTTGAGTCATATGTTCATCTGTGACCCAATTACATGCTCATTCATTCACTGAGTCAGTCTAACTCATTCACTCATCCATTTACTTAACCCTGTTCTCAGTTGCTCACTTGCTCTGTCTTATGTTTCTCTGCCTCCTTCTGTCTCCCTGTCTATTCTTTATCTTTCTTTGTCTCTAGGCCGCTGTCTCTCTCCTCCTTCCATCTGTTTTGTCTCTTGTCTCCATCTCCCTCTCTCTGCTTCCTCACTCCCCTTCACTCACCAACTCCTGCCTCCCCTCGGAGCCCTGTTATTCAGCTGGGTGCTCTGAGAGGAGCACTCCCCAGCCCCCGGCTGCAGCCCCAAGTCCCAGCCACATACCCGAGACCCTCTGATGGGACAAGGAGCAGAGAAGGCACAGATGAGAGGGAGGGTCCTGACCCTCAATGTGGCCTCACCGCCCTATCCTCTGCCCAGAGTAATCAGGGCGAGTACCGTACAGAAGATGGGCTGGTGAAGGGACATGCGTATTCCGTCACGGGCACGCACAAGGTGAGCGACCCCACGGGTGGGCTGGCAGAGGGTGTCCAGGCATCCACAGGCCGGTCAGCCAGTGACGCTGTTGCCCTCAGATGTCACTGGGCTTCACCAAGGTGCGGCTGCTGCGGCTACGGAACCCATGGGGCCGTGTGGAGTGGACCGGGCCCTGGAGCGACAGGTGGGATGGATCTGGGGTGGCGGGAGGGCTTGGCCCCACCTGCCCATCCCTCACACCCCGGTCTCCCCAGCTGCCCACGCTGGGACGTGCTGCCCCCGGAGTGGCGAGATGCCCTGCTGGTGAGGAAGGAGGACGGTGAGTTTTGGTGAGTAGGAGAGGCCCTGGCAGGGCACAGGGAGGGGCCAGTCCTGCTTGAAGGGTCCTGGCAGAGGTTCACGGGGAGGGGTCATAAAGGGAGCAACTGTCCATGTGAGCGGTGATTTAGGGACGAGCTTCAAGCTGGGGGAGCTGAGGACGATTCGTAGTAACATTAGGGAGACTGGGGAGGCATAGTAACCTCTGGGAGGTTGAGGGGGATGGAGAATATTCAGAGCAACTGAGGGGTCTTGGTGACGCCTGGGCATTTCTTGAGATTTGGCCACACTGAGGGGCTGAAGGACATCTGTTGGTAATTGAGAGGCTGAGGGTCTTGATATTTGTGGGCTGAAAACAATTGGACAATCTGAGGGGAGTTGGTGATCTTGGCTATTTGTGGGGCATTTCTGAGGACTCAGAGAAATTTGGGGGAGCTGGAGGGCTCAGGGATTTGGGGGTCATTCTGGAAACATACTGGTTGGTCGTCTGCAAGGTACTTGGCAACACTTGCGGAATCTGGGGGCCTTGTGATCTGGGGGTGGGCAGGTATGACTTCGGGCCACTTTCCAGGATGGAGCTGCAGGACTTCCTCCGCCACTTCAACACCGTCCAGATCTGCTCGCTGAGCCCGGAGGTGCTGGGCCCCAGCCCGGCAGGAGGCGGCTGGCACACCCACATCTTCCAAGGCCGCTGGGTGCGAGGCTTCAACTCTGGCGGGAGCCAGCCTGCTGCCGGTGAGGCCTGGAGGAGACCTGAGAGGCAAGCGAGGGGGCTGCCGCAGCGGGTAACCCCATTTCTTCCTCCCCCACTAGAGACCTTCTGGACCAACCCCCAGTTCCGGCTGACGCTGCTGGAGCCTGATGAGGAGGACGATGAGGATGAGGATGGGCCCTGGGGGGGCTGGGGGGCCGCAGGGGCTCGGGGCCCTGCTCGCGGGGGCCGCGTCCCCAAGTGCACTGTCCTCCTGTCACTCATCCAGCGCAACCGGCGGTGCCTGAGGGCCCAGGGCCTCACTTACCTCACTGTGGGCTTCCACGTGTTCCAGGTGGGCCTCTGGGCTGAAGAGAGGCAGGGCTGAGGGGGTGTCCGAGAAGGCCAAGGGGCTGGGAGGCTGAGGGTGGGGCAGAGAGAGACACACGGAGAGACAGAGCTGGGGCTCACGCATGCTAAGCAAGGGGGGGCAGGGAGAGACTGAGGGCCAGGGAGGGCACAGAGTCTGGGTCAGGAAGGAGTCAGAGAAAGGGGGGGGGGGGGGCTGAGGATCAGGGAGGTGACAAGGAGCAAAGAGGCACAGATGAGAGGGAGGGACCCAGGAGGCGGCAGGGAGAGGCTTGGCCAGGGGCTGAGGGCCAGGGGCTTCAT